GCCCGGGGCCCACCCTGGGGGGGAAGCCGGCCCAGCCGGTCTCTTGGTTATAAGACTGGAAGCCACTCCTTTACCAAGATGGGGGACAGCAGCCTGCCCTGCCACTCTCCAATGTTGCTATCAGAGATTTCAAAAATAAAGAACTAGGAAAGTATTATATTTTATGGTTGGAAGAGACCTTAAAACTCTCATCGGCTCATGTTTGAGAGGAAGAAACAAACTCAAAAAGGACCCCAACCAGCCTAAGGTTTAAAGCGAGATCTCCTAACCCTCCCTCTACTCTGCCGCGGGACCACAGGTGCTAAGGTGCATCCTTACACACATCTTTTAAAAGTTCAAGTAACTGTATATATATATATTTAAAGGCAAATAAATAAGTCCCAAGCCTGAATAGTTACATACAAAAGTATATACACACTTATTTCTTCACACACAGATGCTCTGGGGGCAGGTCAGCTGAGTCACACACGTGATATTCTAAAAGGCTGGGCATTTTCCATGTGGTGCCTAAACATAGGAATACCACGCAGTCCTCGCTGACCTCAGAGTCACTCAGGGCACTGAGATCTGGCTTGCTAGGATCAGACTGCCTTGACCACCTTGAGGGAAACAGCCCGGGTTCTCCAGAGAGGTTCCAGCGCCATCTGAGGCAGCCCTGAGTAGGAAACTCGCAATGTGCAGGCCAGGCCCCCTCCCCTGCTGTTTCCACCTGAGGTCTCTAAAGGGACTGCCTCTGTGGGGCAGTGACAGTGGTGGCCCCAGCGTGGCCTGGTCGGAAACTTCAGTTACGAGAAATGGGTTGCAGAACTGATTGTATTCGGTGTTCAGAGTAAGTGACTATTAAAATAAATAATTGGATTTTTCTGGACCATCTACATTCAGCTAGTGAAAACTCGAGCTGCAAACACACGCACACTTGCAGGTGGTTTTAGTAAAGTGCACACTTGTCCCACAGGCCAAATATCAACAGACTCTCCTGTAGTCCTTTCCAAAAAAGGACGGCGGCTGAGGGGCAGCCCCGCCACTTGCATCTTCCTGAATAAGCTGAGCAGCACTTTTGGACTGGACTGGTGCTTTCACTGAGAACAAGGAGAGGGAAGGCCTCAAAAGGCAGATGGACAGGGCAGGGCAAGGACAGGACACGGGGTGACTCAAGTGCCACTAAGATGGGGAGCAGGAGAATGTTCCAACTTCCCGAACGGGCCCTGAGATGCAGGCTGGGCCTCACCTGTCTGCTTCCCGGAACATGTCCCTCTCCCGCTGGGAATGGATGTCCTGGATGATAGCAGCCACGGTTTTGCCGGGTTTCTAGGCAGAGTGAGAGAGATCACCACTAGGTCAGAGGCAGCCTTGCAAACATGAGGGAAAGCAGCTATGACTTGGGCTGTTCCTTGCCCCATCCAATGAAAAGGAGAAAGTGCCTGTCGTGGGAGGTTTTTAAAAGTTTAATCTAAGACCAGTGAGTGACATGGTGGTTAAGGCACTGACTCTTACATGGTCGACCACAGTTCAAGTCCCTGACCCAGCAGCTTGAAAAACACGCTAGGTGGGTATGAGAGCACGTATGCCCCAAATCCCAGGAGAAGAGTCGAGGAGAAGGGACTGTGGCTTGGCTGTCTCCCGTGGGGGTGATTTCACACTTTCCTTCTCTGTCTCTTTCTGGTGAGCACATTCACCCTGTGGCAAAAATCTTTATAAAAAAAAAAAATGTCACTCCAACACTCTGGGTGTTGTGTGCCCCAAATTCCAACAGACTGGAGAAACAGAGGAGAACGGATTGTGGCATGACCACACCCCACTGGAGGGATGCTTTCTCCCTCTCCCTCTCTCTCTCTCTCTCTCTCTCTCTCTGGCAAGTATGCATGCCCTCTGCCAAATTTTAAAAAAATAATAAGACTTTTTTTTTAAAGTTTAATCCAGAGGATGAGGAGTGTGAGCATAAAGCTGGGCAGGGCAAGGCTGAGAGGTCCAGAGAACAAGTGGTCCGTCGAGGTCAGGAAAGAAAGAGCTGGTGTCCATGCCCACGTGCTGGGAACAAGCAGCCTTAGTTCATACCCACCTCTCACTTCTGTCCTAATTATAAAAAAAAATAATAATAATTAATGTGAGAAGAAGGAAAGAGGAGGAGAGAGGGATGGGAGAAGGGAGGGAGGAAGAACAGAGGCATTACAACTGGAAAGGAGGCGTGCCGATCACTGACCGCAGCCTTCCCCTCTTACATGTGTGGAGACAGACCCAGAGAGGTCGACGTGGTGTCTGACACAACACCTTAGTCACCAGCCTTAATGAACCCCATGCAGATGGTGACTCCAGGACTTGCACTGCATTAAGAGACACGTTCAAGATCCGAGAGGGAGTTAGAGAACCTGGACTTGACAACAGACATTTAAATTCCAAGTTCCTGCCCATGCTCCATGCTCCTTCAACACCTCACTCCAGCGTGCTTGTCCCCAGGGGTCATCTGCTGCTCAGAGCAAGTCTGTGAGGTGGAGACACAGGCACGACTCCTGCAGAGAATGCTGGGTATCCGAAAGCTCCACTCTGGCCAAAGGTCATTACTGTGGCCGTGCCAGGGCAGGACCACGCTCAGCCCCCAAAGCCCGTACTTCAACTAAGAATAGACAAATAGCAACCAAAAATAAAAAAAGTAAATGATTTTAAAAAGAAATTCACAAATATAAAAGTCAGGACAGGAGCACCTGCCAAAAGGCTGCAGAATGCATCCATTCCATAAAAATGTGTGAGCAGGGTGAATTTTATGGTATGTGAGCTATATTTCAATAAAGCTGCTGACATTTGAAAACATGTCTTTAGTGTAAACTTTTTTTTTTTTTTTGGAGAGATTTTTCACTGTAGGGCGCGTGTGCTCGCCAGACAGACAGAGAGAGACATAGAGACAGAAAGCGAGAAATCACCCCCCAGGGGGGATGGTCATGCCGCAATCCCTTCTCCTCCATTCTCCTCTCGGGATCTTGGGCACACACGCACACGCGCCCGGCATGAGTTTTAAGCCACCGGGTCCGGGACACGAACCGCGGTCGACTACGTGAGAGTCCAGCGACATAGCCATTACGCTAACTGCTGGTTCCCTAGTGTAAACTTTTGATGGAGAATTTTTTGTTTTTATTTTTTGTAATTTGCCAGTCGATGTGTATGCTTGCCAAAGACAGAGAGAGAGAAAAGAGAGAGAGAGTGAGAAAGTGCCCCCCCCCAGGCGATAGCCACGCCACGAACCCTTCTCCATTTCCCCCTTCTTTCAGGATTTTGAGCATGCATGGATACATACTCAGTAGAGGTTTTTCAAGCTGCTGAGTCTAGGACTGACCTATGCAGTCAACCATGTGGGATCTAGTAGCCTTTATCACACTACAAGCTAGCCCTGATAGTTTTATTAAGAAATAAAACCAGAGCTGACAGGTGGGTTGGTGGTTAGGACACTGAACTCCTCTATGGCTAACTGAGGTTTGAGCCCTGGACCAAGCAGCTTGCTTTCTCACTTTCTCTCTCTCTCTGGTCAAATTAAAATTAATTAATTAATCAATTAGTTAAATAAATAAAATAAATCATTTTTAAAAAAGAAATCTAACCAGCTGCTCTTTTTTTTTTTTATTTTTATATATTACAATAGGGCACATACACTTACTGGAGAGACAGAAAGCAAGAAATCACCGTCTAGGGGGGCATGGCCATGCCACAATCCCTTCTCTTCCATTCTCCTCTCAGGATTTCGGGCACACACACGCACACACATGCCCTGCATGAATTTCAAGCCACTGGGTCCAGGACCCAAAGCATAGTCAACTACGTGGGAGTCAAGCACCTTAACCACTATGTCACCTGCTGGCCCTCAACTGCTTCGTATTTTTATTTTTAGGTTTTTGCCGTAGGATGCATATGCATGCTGGAGAAAGAGAGTGATAGAAACAGAGGGAAAGTGAGAAATCACCCCCAGAGAAGATGGTCACGACACAATCCCTTCTCCTTTATTCTCCTTCTGGGATTTTAGGCATGCACACATATGTGCCCAGTGTGATTTTCAAGCCACCGGGTACAGGACTTGAACCTCAGTCAGCCATGTGGGAGTCCAGTCCCTTAAGCACTATACTACCTGCTGGCCTACCAGCTGCTCTTTTTATCTTTGTTTTCATGTTATGTAGTTTGTGAAGGATCATGAACTCTTAACAACTATTCAGAGACTGGATATCACAATGCATTTCATTTCACAGATGAGAAAACCATATCCAGAGATGCGACATGGCTGGGGTTAGAATTTCATGAGTGATCTGAGTGGAACGACTGTTTACCTGACTTATTGTTGATTGAGGGCTGGGCTGGGAAAAACACAGAGTACAGGCAGGAATGAAGGGAGGGCTGCCTGTGTCTCAGGGTGAGAAGTCAAGGCTAGAACACAGGGAAGAAATAACGAATATTCAAGCCAGAAAGATCTCTTGTCATTTCGAGATACAAAAGGACAGAAGGCTGAAGAGGAGCAGTGACTTCTTCCTCTGTGGTCATGAAGAGGTCAAGTCAAAAAGTCAGTCAATATCCTGTTCAAGCAAAGGCCCAGGAATTCAGCATGCTCAAGATAACCACCTAAAAAGCCACCTCACAACTTTGGCAAATGGCCCGGCGTGTCCAACAGCAGCTGTAAAGGTGGATTCTATGAGCATACAAAGATCCACTGCAAGCCCCAGATCACCTGTCTGCACCAACTGCTCATAGTAGACCAGAAGCAAAGACCCAAGGCTGGGGCAGTGTGACAAAGAGATGAGAACGACCCCTGGCTGACCAAAGCCTGAGTGCCACATAATCCCCCACACCCAGCGCCTATGCCCCATGGTAGTCACCACCCTGTCCAGGAGAAAGAACAAAGGGCATGCTGAGGGAGACAGAGCCAAGGTGGGAGAGCCAAGGTGAAGGACAAGCCACAGAGAAGGTCTGCAAAGCTGTCTGCGAAACCTGCTCCTCCAAAGCCAGAGCCCCAGGCTAAAAAGGCCCCTGTAAAGAAAGGAAAGAAGGTGCCCATAGGAAATAGGAGAAAATTGATGCTGGCAAGGATGGGAAGAACCCTCCAGAACATGGAGATGCCGAAACAGACCAGGCACAGAAAGCTGAAGGTGCTGGAGTCGCTGAGCGAGGTGTGTGCATTTTTGGTAACAGTACTTCTGGTGGCTTGCAATTTGAGACACTATTTTTTATCAAATTTTATAAAAATGCAGAATTTTGTTTACCTTTTTTTTTTTTTTAAGCTATGTTGTTAGCACACAAAACACTTTTGATGGCTTTTTGGGGTAGGGACATTTGTCACTAATAGAATGTCTCTGAAGCTAGATTGATTTTTGGAGACATCTTTCCCTTCCAGTTTTTTTTTTTTTAACTTTATTTATTTCATTTTAATTTTGACCAGAGAAGAACAGAGTGAGTGAATGAGAGAGAGAGAGAGAAAGAGAGAGAGAACAAGCTGCACAGGTTCAGGACTCGAACCGTACTTGGCCATGTGGGAGTCCAGCGCCCTTAACCACCACACCACAGACTGTCCCCCCCTTCTAGTTTTGAGAGACTTCCCCTTGGCTCCCTGGATTCCCTGACACTGACACACATAGCCACCTTGGCACAAGTGTCTTGTGGTGTGCGAAAGCTAAAATGTGTTGTTATGTCCTCTTCACCTTCAGCGTAGACTGAACTCCTTTAAACCAGAGACCTGTTGGTGCCTGAGCACAAAAGCCTGGTTACCAGCATGTCAGGGAATCTGGACTCTTCGATGCCATTAAGATGGCATCCTTGAAAAGAGAGAGATTTACATGAATAATTCTGCCATTTTTGTTTCCCAAAAGTCAGAACTGGCTCATGAAAAGTCGTTAAACGACTCGCTGTGAAATGTCAGCCCTCATTGTCAACGTGCCCTGTTTGGAGCATCACACGAAGACTTCACAGGGATTTACAGTGGCTTTCTGATGTTGGTAGTTTATTGAAGAAGGGAATTTAAAGGTATTGTACACTGTTAAGGATTGTCTGCCCACGTCCTACCTGAAATACCATGATTATTTATGAAAAGGATTTTTAATCAAGCTGGATACACTTTGGCTCAGAGAAAAAAAACAACAACAACAACAAAAACAAAAAACTCACAGCTGAGCCAGGAAAGAAGAGAAGGCTGTTGGCCTGGGCCGAGAGGAGGACTGCTGCCTAGGGTGTACCCCTCCTCCCCACAGCCCCTCCTTCAGTCAGGGCTGTTTGTCACTCTCTTGAAGTAGAACAAAAGGGTTCCTCTGGAGATGACCACACTTAACGTGGACACCACAGAGCAG